AATGGAATTGCAGATTTGACAAATGTATTAAGTGTAATGAAGAGTACTTTGAAGGTAATAAAGTTGTTTTGCTAAAAAAATTTTAATAAATAGCTTTGAAAAAAATTAAAATTTCACGCCCAGATTGACTGTCTTCACACATCTTCAGGTTGTATGTTCATAGAGTCATTTAAAAATAAATCTAAAAAAAATAATAAAAAATAAATCTATGGGGCAGGAGGGTGGGGGAGGGAGGGAAAAAGAGGACCTGATACCAAGGGTTAAAGTAGAAAGAATATGTTTTGAAAATGATGATGGCAACATATGTACACATGTGCTTGATACAATTGATGTCTGGATTGTTATAAGAGTTATAAGAGCCCCCAATAAAATGATTCATAAAAAATAATAATACTTTTTAAATAAATATATAAAAGATAGTGACTGGCAAAAAAATTAAAACTAATAATAAAAAAATAAATCCATTGTTTGGGAGGCCTCCAGATCACCAGCAGAATTTTACTGGAATTGGGGCAACAAGAACTCCTCTCCAGAGTTTTATAACCAAGATTGGTTATTCCAAGTTTGGGGACATCACGCTTGTCCATTCCAGGTCCAGCTTGGCTCTTTCAGCCCTGGTTGTGCCGAACATGACTATTTCAACTCTAGTTGTTCCACATTTGTCTGTTGCAGCTCTGATTATTCCAGGTCTGATCGCTCCACATTGGAAGCTTTCCAGAAAGAAGGCATCCGCTGTGATAGGAAGGATGGAGGTCCAGGTGTTCTGTAGGTGCAGCGACTTTCTGAGTCCACCAGTTGGGCATTTTCTGCCACCTCTTACATTTCAGTCTCTGGTCCTGGAACCAGCTCTTACCCTGTTTGTAGTTCTCTAAATACATGGCCTCCACGGCTGACAGCTAAACACTTCTTGGTTCAGGGATGTCTCTGAGCTGAAAAACTCACTTTTAGCAGTCAGTAGTTCAGCTTCAAGGGGTCTTGGTGGCACTGTAGGTTAAGCATTGTTCGGCTAACTACAAGGTCAGCTGTTCAAACCCACCAGCTACTCCAGGGGAGAAAGATGAGGCTGTCAGCTCCCATAAAGATTTACACTCTCCAAAAACTCTAGGGAGCAATTCTACTCTGAGTTGGAATCGACTTGATGGTGGTGAATTTAGTTTGGGTTTAGTCTAGGTCCCATGCACTGTCAGAAAAAAATATGAAATATTTTTAAGTGGACAAAGTGATTTCTAGGTGTCTTTTCAATGAAACACACAGAGAGGGAAGATCTACAAATGGAAACATACTGAGTACTGAGTCAGGGTAAAGAAAGATGTTTTCAAATCCCCCTGATAAGGTAGTCTTTGCAGAAGCTTCCACCAGAGCTTCTTGCCCCTGCCCACCCCCCACCCCCATTAAAGAAACGCCTGAGTTAGGAATAAAGATATGTATAAAAGCATGGCCAACCAGTGGAACCAGTGGGGCCAGACCACAAATCTCTCCAGAGACTGCACAGCTGTGCACCAAGACTGGTATGAGGAGAACAAGCTTTTTTCCCCCGAGGCCTGCAAGTTAAAACATTCACACTTACGTAGAGTCATACCTGAAATATCACACGTAGGTTTATGGACAGGAATCTGACTCACTATTCTGGACAGGCATGTGCTGAAACACCCCCTTTGCCATCCTTGGGTGCTGTCCTGGTGATGCCTGTGGAAAAGGTTTCAGCCTCAGGCAGCCTGCTTCAACTGTTGCCTCCACTTCTGTCTCTGGAAATGAAGATAAGGACAGTTCCTGTCTTGTGGGGTGTGGGGAGGATTAAATGAGACAAGGTATATAAAGTTCTCCAAAAAGCTTGGTTCACATCAAGACTCATTAAATACCAATTACTCAAGAAATGGTATTGTTTGCTTTGTAGAACTCCCAGTGGGAGACATTCTTTAGAAACTGATTATTGTTCATTATTTCAGCTAAACAATTTTGTATTCAACAATTTAAACTATTTATCATACTGCCCAATAGCTTACCCTGGCCCCCTTTGACTTCCCTTCTCCCTCCAATAAAACATTATCTTCTCCTTCACCCAAGTCTAGCCTTGGGAGAAAGAAAGCCCAACTTTCCTCTAGTTCCTAAATGCTTCCTCCTCCCCCACTATCATGATCCCAATTCTACCTTGCAAATCTGGCTGGATTGGAGGATGTACACTGGTACAGAGAGGAACTGGAAACACAGGGAATCCAGGACAGATGACCCCCTCAGGATGAGTGGTGAGAGTGGCGATGCCGGGAGGATGGCAGGAGGGTGGGGTGGAAAGGGGGAACTGATTACAGGGATCTACATATAACCTCCTCCCTGGGAGATGGACAACAGAAAAGTGGGTGAAGGAAGGCGTCCGACAGTGTAAGATATGACAAAGTAGACTTCCTCTTCCGGGGTCTCGGCAAAGGCCGTGGGCACTGGGCCAGCTCGGGCGCCCCCGGGAGCCACCAGCATGGCCGAGGGCAAAGTGGGAGGTGCGGCCGGCCTCTTTGCCAAGCAGGTGCAGAAGAAGTTCAGCAGGGCCCAGGAGAAGGTACTGCAGAAGTTGGGGGAAACAGTGGAAAGCAAAGATGAACGGTTTGAACAAAGTGCCAACAACTTCTACCAGCAACAGGCAGAAGGCCAGAAGTTGTACAAGGACCTGAAGAACTTCCTTGGTGCCGTCGAAGTGATGCATGAGAGTTCGAAGAACGTGTCGGAAACCCTGCAGGAGCTCTACAGCGGCGAGTGGGACGGGCAGGAGGAGCTGAAAGCCATCGTAGGGAATACTGACCTCCCCTGGTTGACCAGGCTGTGAGGACCATGGAAAATGATGTGTCCCCGTTCAGTGAGATTAAGGAGAGAATCGCCAAGTGGGCCGGAAACTTGTGGACTATGCCAGTGCCCGACACCACCTGGAGGCTGTGCAGAATGCCAAGAAGAAAGATGAGGCCAAGGCTGCCAAGGCCGAGGAAGAGTTCAATAAAGCCCAGCTCGTACTTGAAGACCTGAACCAGGAACTGCTGGAGGAACTGCCGATTCTTTACAACAGTCGTGTCGGCTGTTATGTGACCATCTTCCCAAACATCCCCAACCTGAGGGATGTTTTCTACAGAGAAATGAGCAAGCTGCACCACAGTCTCTACGAGGTGATGAGCAAACTGGAGAAGCAGCATTCCAACAAAGTCTTTGTGGTGAAGGGCCTGTCGTCATCTCCTCCCCGTGCGAACGTCGAAGAGCCTCTGCCAGCCCGCAATGGCCCAGCCCCAGCCCAGGCCTCTCTGCCCATCGAGGGTGACGAATCCCAGGAGGACGTCTTCTCCAGCTCCCCACCTCCATCGCCGGACAGAGCCCTGGCCCCGGCCGGGCAGCCTCCGCCATCTCCTCCAGAAGTCGTCCTCCGAGCCCACCCGGCCATTGAAGGGGCTGAGCAGCCAAAGAAGAGCGCCTCCCTCCGGAGGACCTCAGGCACCCCACCCACCCC